ACACGCCAATTGAGACACAAACGTGTGATTTAGTTGATGACAAAGACACCGATGAATGTCCAACGGATGGCAAATCTGTCGTTGAATTGGATTTTGTTTTGTTTGCAAATAAGGATCACTCGGACAGCGAAGAGGAGGAGACCAGCGATTCCAGTGAATCCAGTGATGAAGACTCGGAGGAAGACAGCAATGATTCAGTGAAACAATCAGATAATGAGTCCAAATGTGTGGACAAATGATTGCGTTTTGTTTTATAACTATTAGAGATTATTAACTATTTTTAATTCATTAGTTGTCATAAGAGATCATTATTTAAATTTGATATCACTTGATATTATTATTCAAATAAATTGTGGTTTAATTTTGAGGATAAAAGTCTGTTTTATTAACCATTGATTCTCACTAAGTGTGTCCCCAATATATTAATAAAATACATTTCATTTCACTGCTTAAGCATGGTTGGTAATTGTTATCCAGGTCCGGTTTCCTAACGAAAAGAGGTTTGTCCAATATACCGTGGTAAATTTTATCGATATTGATAGCTTTGGCGCTTAAAACTTTATATATTTGTCATATTTATTAATTAATAGTTTTAAAATGAATTGATTAGTATGAGTAGCTTGATAAAACATGATTTATCAATGTACGAGTAGTTTGTGTTCAATGAATAAATACTATTTTACAATGAAAATACTGATTTTATGAATAAATGTAAACTTATATAAATCACTAAACCAAATATATATGATTCACTTAAAGTTTTACCCAGATACTCATACTAATCAATTCATTTTATAATTATGAATGAATAAATATGACAAATATATAAAGTTTTAAGCGCCAAAGCTAACAATATCGACAAACTTTATCACGATATATTGGACAAACCACTTTCCGTTAGGAAACCGGACCTGGATAACAATTACCAACCATGCTGAAGCAGTAAAATGAAGTGTATTTTATTAAAATATTGGGGACACACTTAGTGAGAATCAATGGTAAGTTTTATAGTCTTTACAATAAAGTCATTGAATGATTAGTAAACGAGTGGACAGTTGTCTTAATAAATAGTGTTAATAATTGAGTCGATAATAAAACGTTGAATTCATTTCAAGGATTAGTCTGTGGATTATGGCTACGGTTTAATCACTTTAATGAGTTTCGGTAAGACTTCTACTGATTTCAATTTGGATCTAATCAAGGAAATGATATATTTTAATATTTGTTATACAAATGAATGAATTGTTTTATATATGACTAACTCATTTGGCGAGACATTGATCACTCTCTGCAACCAAACCATAATTAGGACCAAAATGAGCCAAAATGTGATGCAAATGATGTGGAAATGAGTGCTTTTCTCGAGAATCTTCACATCCGCCTCTTCATGGGTCTCATAATCACTCAAATGATTTAAATAACTATTAATGCATTTATAATACATTTAGATATGAATCCAATGAACATTCAAACGCACACTTCTATTGAATAATCTGATTTGCAGTGATAATGAACGCAATTCAAGTGAATTACAATAATATTTGTTTTGTTTGAAAACTTTGCAAAGTTCATTGAAAACCACTTAATTGCAAGTTATTTACAGTAAAGTAGTCTAGTCTAGTGTTTTTCTAAATGCGACCTTAAAACTAACATTTCTTTCATTATATGGACTATTGATCACGTATTGAGTCTTATTGGCACAAATCCTATTGAAATCAATGTCAAGATTTGAATGGAAAGTAACGCAAAACTAAATTCCTGTATAACTTATTAGAGCATTGAATTTATATGCAAATACTGTACAACAATGTATTTGATAAACTTGTGCTACAGTGTGTAGAAGTTTGGAGCTGCTATACTGTAGTAATTGAAATGTATTTTTATCTCAATTTATGATTTTAACACTTAAAATTAAGTGCAAAAGGGATATCAGATTATGGATTACCGTATACCATAATATATTATATGCTCATATGCTTTTATTATATAAAAATTTTGAATACCTCCCAAGGTTGCAAGGTAATTTCTAAATTTCTAAAAGTAAAAGTAAAAGTAATTCTAAAAATGTGTGCCTAGATTCTGTCCATTCTTACTGTACATGTCTGTCAATATATACAGTATATTCATTAAAAAGATTTATTGTATTCATTATATTACATAATATTATTTGAGATTTTTTGAACATGGTTGATTACTCTCACTAATTTTGATTGCACTTATTGCGCAAACATAACAATTTGATTGAAAGAGAAGTCAAAATATTAAATGATTTCCTATGATTATCAGTAATCAATCAGATATTAAATTATATATAGACTTGAATAGAGCTGCACTTTCCTAATTCATTTGATTGTGTACTTTATTTGCACTTCTGTAATGATTGATATGAAAGCAAGTAAAAGTTATTATTTAATCCTCATTAAAAGTTATTTAATAATTATTTGGTTTTTGTAATACCATAGTAATTATATAATTTCTATTATGTGTCTGAATATCTCACTAAATTTAATCATTAATGCTTTTTATTATTCATTCTAAATGATAAATTAAAAGAAATACAGTATAAATAAATAATTAAAATTACCAATGACTTTGGCTAATATCTAAAAACTATAGTCAAGTGGTTGGGAACCGATCTCAGAGTTAGATAAGAGTGAAGATCTACTCTATTATAAAGTTTGTGCACAAAATGTGTTTTATTACACTTTTCTATTACAAAGTAATAGAAATACAGATATTTGTACAATAATTGTGTTTTCGTGCTAAACCATTATACCAAACAATACAATGTCAATTTTGAATGAGATGTTATCTTTTACGCATGAAAACAATTTTACAAATAATTATGGAAAATTACAATATGTATTTAGAATCAATACAATTATTTAATATTGATATAAAGGTTACATTGAAAATATAGGAGACAAAAGGGCGATATATATAATTGGATAGCAAACCAAAGAATCATTTGTACCAATTGTGTTGATTCAGTGGTCTTATGGCACACTATAAAGTGCAATATATTGGACAATTGGACAAGTGCACAATTAGACTTAGGTATCCCTCCGTTTACTAATCACTATTTAATATGAAACTGACTTGTGAGTAAATTCATAAGTACAAATTACAGTGTACGGTAAATGTAGGTAAGTACAAACAAATATGAATAATGGTACATTTGCATAAATAACATTACCGTAATTAGAGTTGTTGTAAAAAATCAAGGCTTCAGCTGATAATTAACTGTAAGACAAATCAATGTCTTTTCATCCGTAAAATAGTTTAAAGAATTGTCTAAAGAATAGTTTTCCATATCATAAGTGTTTGTATCGAGTCGTATAGAATCCTATAATTCTTATTCATATTCATGGATTTCGAGGAATTAATAGAAAAAGTTGGATCTTTTGGTCGATATCAGAAAATTCTGGGACTTTTTCTGTGTCTATTAATTGCACCGTTTTTTGCTTTCAATGATTTGACACAATTCTTGCTATTTCTGGAGCCAGAGCATAGCTGTTCCCGAGGGACAGAGACGGTTGACGTCTATTTTAATCTCCTCTGGTTAATAGAACCGGAACATAATATCTCAAAAAAATGTGAATTACTAGACGATTTTGGCAATAAAACTAATTGTATTTATGGTCACCAGTATAATTATTCTCATATCTATTCCACAATTGTGTCCGAGGTAAAAATTGAATAATTTTTACAGTAAATAGTTGATGAAAACTTAGAAATAGTAATATTTAAAATTGAATCTTGCTTGCTTCAAACAGAATAATTATGTTTGCGAAGACAGTGGGAATTTATATTTTGTACACACAATATACTGGACCGGATCAGCAGTTGGGGTTCACGTTATCGGTTTTATTTCTGATAGGTAATCATTTATGACTTAATTAAAGTTTTATTTAATTCTTAACTAAAAATCCAAATATTCTTAGATATGGAAGAGTGCCGGCGATTGGCATTTGCCATCTAATCGGTGCCATCGCAGGGACGGCCACTATATTCTTCTCGCATAACTTTATATTGTTATTAATCTCGAGAGCATTCATGGGTTTTGTGGTGTTATCTCAGGGCATGTTTGCCGTGGTTTTAGTGATGGAATTTGTGGGAATTGACGGCAGAATGGTAATCATTAATCTCTTAATTAAAGTTTTATTGAACTCTTAATTAAAAATCCAAATATTCTTAGATATGGAAGAGTGCCGGCGATTGGCATTTGCCATCTAATCAGTGCCATCGCAGGGACGGCCACTATATTCTTCTCGCATAACTTTATAGTGTTATTAATCTCGAGAGCATTCATGGGTTTTGTGGTGTTATCTCAGGGCATGTTTGCCGTGGTTTTAGTGATGGAATTTGTGGGAATCGACGGCAGAATGATTATATCGACTCTATTTTTATTCAGTTATTCCATTACCGCTACTATTCTTCCATGGGTTGCATATTATATCCATAACTGGAGGTTATTAAGCATTATGACATCTGCACCACTATTTATAATACCAATCATTTGTTTGTAAGCAATCTATAAGAATATCATTAATATAGTAAAGAACTACATATAATTTCGTCCAAATTAATAGCTTTATTCCGGAATCCATTCGTTGGCTCATCTCTAAAGGGAAGCATTCAAGGGCTGAAACAATAATACAAAAAATTGCGAAAATCAATAAAACACAAGTTTCCGCCGATGAGATCAGTCTTAAGAATATTAAATTAGACGAAAACAAAAGGGAATCATTACTTCAATTGTTTACTTATAAAAGACTCCTAAGAATATTTATTCTGACAAATATTCTTTGGTAAGTCATTAATACTATAATAACAGTAATCATAATTAAATGGTTTGTTATGACAGGGCTCTGCAGAATATAGGCTACACGGGAGCCAACATTTATGCGGCCAATGCGTCCAACAGGCCCTTCATAATGTTAAGCGTCAACTCAGGTCTCGATGTGATCGCCACCTTCTTCTCCAATAAGTTCTCCAACACTTACGGCAGGAAAATCACGACAATTGTGTCGTGCCTTTTGGCCGCAATCGCATACATTTCGGCCGCTATTGTCACACTATTCACGGATAACACACACATCCAAATGGTTGTCCTATTATTGGGTCGACTCACCTTCACGTGTGGCTATAATGTCCAATACATATACGCCGCCGAAGTAAACACAAGTTTCACCCGATGAGATTAGTCTTAAGAATATTAAATTAGACGAAAACAAAAGGGAATCATTACTTCAATTGTTTACTTATAAAAGACTCCTAAGAATATTTATTCTGACAAATATTCTCTGGTAAGTCATTAGTACCATACTATCATAGTAATCAATGATGAATAATCATAATTAAATGGTTTGTTATGACAGGGCTCTGCAGAATATAGGCTACACGGGAGGCAACATCTATGCGGCCAATGTGTCCAACAGTCCCTTCATAATGTTAAGCGTCAACTCAGGTCTCGATGTGATCGCCACCTTCTTCTCCAATAAGTTCTCCAACACTTACGGCCGGAAAATCACGACAATTGTGTCGTGCCTTTTGGCCGCAATTGCATACATTTCGGCCGCTATTGTCACACTATTCACGGATAACACACACATCCAAATGGTTGTCCTATTATTGGGTCGACTCACCTTCACGTGTGGCTATAATGTCCAATACATATACGCCGCCGAAGTATACCCGACTGTCATCAGGAGCCGAGCGCTGGCTGTACGCCTGGCGGTCGGATCTATTGGTAATGTGATTAGTCCACCGATCGTAGCGCTGTCGGTAATCAACAAACAAATCCCATTAATCATCTTTGGTTTGTGTGCTCTGATGGCGTCCGCACTTATGTTGAAACTCCCGGAAACACTCGACAAACCATTGCCCGAGACGTTAGAAAACGGCGACACATTTGGCAAGAAAACCAAATCAAAGCCCAAGAATGTGAATATGAGACGACGGTCCACATTCATAGCCGTATGTATGGCACCGGTAGAGATACCACTCAATTACAACACAAACGGCATCACCAACGGAACCATAACGAACAGCATTGAACTCAAAGTGTACGCTAAATTCAAAAACGGCTTAAAACAAAGCACCAAATTTTAAATACTAAATACGATAACAAATTTATTTCCAAAAAAAATATTTATTTATTTACAAAATAAAATAAAAGTCAAACTAAGAGACAATGAGTGCTATCATCAGACGAGTAGTACGGCGTTAATACAGCCATCATTTTCCGGGTTATTGGTCACCTGAGCGTACTTACCCCACACCACTTTCCCCGATTGGGTCACGAGACCCAACTCACTGATGTTCACTTCGATTGCACACTTCGGGCCTCTTTCTTGCGCTTCCGCTCCTCGTAGTCCAGCCGTCGGCCGAACCTCTTGTGGAACAGCTCTATGTGTTCGTTCTGTGGCATTGTCTTCGGTGGTAGTGGTGGTGATCACCGATGGATCACTCGTTGCGCTCAAATTGGCGTTTAAATTGTCTTTAATAATTATTTGGTTTTTATAATACCATAGTAAATATATAATTTCTATTATGTGTCTGAATATCTCACTAAATTTAATCATTAATGCTTTTTATTATTCATTCTAAATGATAAATTAAAAGAAATACAGTATAAATAAATAATTAAAAATACCAATGACTTTGTCTAATATATAAAAACTATAGTCAAGTGGTTGGGAACCGATCTCAGAGTTGGATAAGAGTGAAGATCTGATCTATTATATAGTTTGTGCACAAAATGTGTTTTACCGAATTCTCTAACTTTAGGCGCCATGGCGCCTTATGTGACAGGTCCCAGTCTCGGGTAGACTTCAAAATAGCATGGTGTGTTACCTAGATAGTACGCCACCCCCTCTTAGAGACTTATATAACC